TGGGAGGGAGTCGCTCTGGGAGTCCTCAACATTGACTCCAGACCCCATGAAGTCTCATGGCTTCAGGTTAAAATGGGCAAGGAAACCTCCTGCTGATTACCACATACCATCCTCCCTCAGCCCTTGAATTGGTATTCCTCCATGTTGAACAACACTTGGAGGAAACACTGAGGATGGCAAGGGCACAAAATGTACTCTGGCTGGGGGATTTCAATGTCCACCACCAAGAGTGGCTCGGCAGCAGTACGACAGATCAAGCTGGTCGGGTCCTAAAGGATTTAGCTGCTAGACTGGGTCTGTGGCAGGTGGTGAGGGAACTAACACGAGGGAAAAATATACTTGACCTCATCCTTACCAATCTGCCAGCTGTAGCTGCATTTGCCCATGACACTACCAGTAAGAGTGGCCACCACACAGTCTTTGTGGAGTCAAAGTCCCATCTTCACATTGAGAATAACTTCCATCATGTTGTGTGGCACTATCACCATGCTAAATGGGACAGACTTCAAACTGATCTAGCAACTCAAGACTGGGGCATCCATGAGGCACTGTGGGCTATCAACAGCAGTAGAATCGTACTCCAACACGATCTGTAATCTCCTGACCCGGCATATCCCCCACTCAACCATTACCATCGAGCCAAGGCATCAACCCTGATTCAATAGAGTGTGCAGGAGAGCATGCTAGGAGCAGCACCAGGCATACCTGAAAGGCTGAGGGACTTGAGGCTGTTTTCGTTAGAAAGAAGAAGGTTAAGAGGTGACTTAATAGAGACATACAAGATGATCAGAGGATTAGATAGGGTGGACAGTGAGAACCTTTTTCCTCGGATGGTGATGGCTAGCATGAGGGGACATAGCTTTAAATTGAGGGGTGATAGGTATAGGACAGATGTCAGAGGTAGGTTCTTTACTCAGAGAGTAGTAAGGGCGTGGAATGCCCTGCCTGCAACAGTAGTAGACTCACCAACTTTAAGGGCATTTAAATGGTCATTGGATAAACATATGGATGATCATGGAATAGTGTAGGTTAGATGGGCTTCAGATTGGTTTCACAGGTTGGCGCAACATCAAGGACTCAAGGGCCTGTACTGCGCTGTAATGTTCTATGTTCTATGAGGTGTCAACCTGGTGAAGCCACCAAACAGGACTGTTTGCATGCCAAACAGCATAAGCAGCAAGCGACAGACAGAGCTAAGCAATCCCACAACAAATGGATCAGATTGAAGGTCTGCAGACCTGTCACATCCAGACGTGAATGGTGGTGGGCAATTAATCACTGGAGGAGGAGGCTCCACAAATATGTCCATCTTCAATGATGGAAGAGCCCAGCACATCAGTGCAAAAGATAAGGCTGAAGCATTCACAGCAATCTTCCGATTGGATGATCCATCTCGGCCTCCTCCAGTGGTCCCCAGCATTACAGGTACCAGTCTTCAGCCAATCCGATTCACTCCATGTGATATCAAGAAACGGTTAGGGACACTGAATACTGCAAAGGCAACGGGCCCTGACAACATTTCAGCAGAAGTACTGAAGACTTGTGCTCCAAAACTTGCCGCTCCCCTAGCCAAGCTGTTCCAGTACAGTTACAACACAGGCATCTACCCAATAATGTGGAAAATTGCCTAAATATGCCCTGTACATAAAAAAGTAGGACCAGTCCAATCCAGCTAATTACCACCCCATCAGTCTACTCTCAATCATCAGTAAAGTGATGGAAGGTGTCATCAACAGCTCTATCAAGCAGCACCTGCTCAGCAATGACCTGCTCAGTGACGCCCAGTTTATGTTCTGCCAGGGCCGCTCAGCTCCTGACCTCATTACAGACTTGGTTCAAACATGGACAAAAGAGCTGAATTCTAGAGGCGAGGTGAGAGTGACAGCCCTTAATATATCAAGGCTGCATTCGACCGAGTATGGCATCAAGGAGCCCTAGCAAGACTGGAATCAATGGGTATCAGGGGTCAAACTCTCTGGTGGTTGGAGTCATACCTGACACATAGGATGATGGTCGTGGTTGTGGGTGGTCAGTCATCTCAGCTCCAGGACATCTCTGCAGGACTTCCTCAGAGCAGCGTCCGGGGCCCAACGATCTTCAGCTGCTTCATCAATGACCTTCCCCCCATCATAAGGTCAGAAGTGGGGAAGTGGGAATGTTCGCTGTTGATTGCATAATGTTCAGCATGATTCGCGGCTCCTCAGATACTGAAGTAGTCCGTGTTCAGATGCACCAAGACCTGGACAATATCCAGGCTTGGTCTGACAAGTGGCAAGTAACAATCACACCACACAAATGCCAGACTATGACCACCACGAACAAGAGACAGTCTAACCACTGCCCCTTGGCATTCAGCGGTGTTACCATCACTGAATCCCCCACTATCAACATCCTGGGGGTTAGCATTGACCAGAAACTCAACTAGACTCACCAAATAAGCACAGTGGCTACAACAGCAGGTCAGAAGCTAGGAATACTGCGGTGAGTAACTGACCTCCTGGCTCCTCAAAGCCTGTCCCCCATCTCCAAGGCACAAGTCAGAAGTGTGATGGAATACTCCCCACTTGCCTGGATGAGTGCAGCCCCAACAACACTCAAGAAGCTTGGCACCATGCTAGGACAAAGCAGCCCTCTTGATTGGCACTACATCTACAACCATCCATTCCCTCCACCACCGATGCTCAGTAGTAGCAGTGCGTACTATCTAAAGGATGCACTGCAGAAATTCACCAAAGATCCTCAGACAGCACCTTCCATACCCACGACCAGTTCCATCTAGAAGGACACGGGCAGCAGATATATGGGAACACCACCACATCCACGTTCCCCTCCAAGCCACTCACCATCCTGACTTGGAAATATATTGATGTTCCTTCACTGTCGCTGGGTCAAACTCCTGGAATTCCCTCCCTAAAGGCATTGTGGGTCAACCCACAGTAGGTGGACTGCAGGAATTTAAGAAGGCAGCTCACCACCACCTTCTCAAGGTCAACTAGGGATGGACAAGATATGCTGGCCAGCCAGCAATGCCCACATCCCATAAATGAATTTTTTTAAAAAACATCGATTGCCTGCCCCTCTTTTGTGATTACTTTCACACCTGGGGGATCGGGAGAGCGAGCACATGGTATCCACTGGTAAGTTCGAGGCTTCCCACTGACCATTCTTTTTTTGTCAATTATTAAGACAATCATTGTCTTTCCCTGAATCTACCATTGCTGTGTCACCTTGTTTTTGCTCCACCTCCTTTGTGAGACACTAAGTAATAAAAGTGACAGAGAAAAATTATTTTTGAGGCCCCAAGACGATTATGAAATGTAAAGCTCCAGGAAAAAAAATGCTTTCAAATTCCAGCAAATACTTTGGTATTCGCAGCATTGTTGCAGGATGAAGCTGCTGTGTTCTGCTGCTGTCTGTTATGGGGATCACAAACCATTACTCGATGGGTTAGAGAGATAGTAGGAACTGCAGATGCTGGAGAATCTGAGATAACAAGGTGTACAGATGGATGAACACAGCAGGCCAAGCAGCATCAGAGGAGCAGGAAGGCTGACGTTTCGGGCCTAGACCCTTCTTCAGAAAACTCTATGGGTTACTCTGGTTTCTTTCATCTTTGCTGCCTCAAAATAACATGGTACAAATGATAGCTAGCAGTGAGTTGATATTGGCTTGCAATCCTCTATCATGGTATTCCCATTACAGCTGGGTGCAGACAGAATAAAAACCACTGCAGATGATACAGAATGCATCATTGTTCATGGGAAGCAATAAGGTACCAGCAATATGGACCAGGGACCTCCAATCCCAGTTTCTTGGAAAGTCAGCCGAACTGTGTTGTAGACCAACCTATTCATCCAACTCCATTCTGATTTTGCCCCTTCCCCCTCCTACCCATTCTTCACCTCTGGTTGTTTGCATGTAAATTAATTGATTGGAAAACACAGGTGGTAGTTAATAGTTGGAAAAAAATACCACGAGTGATTTGACAAGGGGTAAATAAAATTCCGTTGTTTGTGAGAAAATCCAGCTGTTCAGAAATGTTATGACACACCTCTGAAGCAGTTGGGACTTGAAGCTAGGCCTCCTCACCTGGAGGTAGGAACATTACCTCTGTATCACTAGAGTTGTATTGTAGTTATGTTCATGATGTGTTATAACACAGTTCTGGAGCAGGTAGGAACCAAATCTGGACACTACCATTGCATCATAATATCCCTAGGTCTTGCATCCATAAATTTTCTGCACTGTCATTACACACCTCTGGAGCAGGTGGACATTGAACCTGGGTCTCCTGGACAAGAAGTAGGGATACTACCACTGCACCACAAGAGCCTTTATCTGTCCTGTACCTTCATGATGTTAAGCCTAATCATCTAACTCTCTACAGGTATCTTGTGAGGAGCCCAGTGCCTAGCACCTGAGAGGCAGGTGACCTTGAAGATCGCACATAACACTGCAGGGATTGCCAACCATATTCGATCTTGCATTAGAAGCTTTGTCTCCTAACCTTCCTAATAACATTGCTGAAACACTGCAATGCTGTCATCCTCAGGTTGACGTACTTATTAAAACTGCTGACATAACTTGCTTTGTGACTTGATCTTGTTTGTGTCCTTGCTACTCCTTACCTATTCACTGAATGCAGTACATTTTCCCTTGACAATGGTGGTGGCATCTGGAGGTTGATAATGAGATGTGTATGAGAAATCCAAGACTAAGAGTATGGTGGACTTTATACTTAGCTACTCATGACGTTGGCAACCAAAAATCTGATTTTTCTGACACCACTCTGCCTCTTACATTATACCCCTTGAAAATCAGTCCTCCTTTTAATGCACATACATTGTTCTAATCACAGGGTTGTCTCTGCTTGACCAAAACTCAGACACAGCAACTCTTCCCAGGCCTTCAATGGCCCAGTGAATAAATCTGGAGAAGGAGATACTAATTCTAAGTACAGCTCATTTACATTTTAATCAGAGGCATGCATCTAGACTTACCACTCTCTCCTTCACCAAAAAATTTAGGATTGAAGGAAGTTGTGTACCCAGAACCTGTTGTTCGACCAGTTCTCTCACTTTCCTCCTCTATTTCTTCCTCTGGTGGTTCTTCAAATATATCTATAAGGTCATCTGTGTGGTGGTAACAGACATTAATGGCAACATACAATGGATGGAGATGCAAAGACAAAGTGAATGGGAATTCAACAAACACTAACCAAAACATTGACTGTAGTATAGCTCCATCTTTATGAGAGTGGGGCTAGAGGTAAACCTAAAGTTATTAAAGAATAGAGTAAGGGTGGATCACTATCATAATCAAAACAGAAAATACTGGAAATACCGAGCAGGTCAGGCATCAGACAACAGTTATTGGACTGGATTTTCAACTTAGAAGTGGTTAAAAAGGATCAACAAATTTCTCGTGTCAGGAGTACGTGCTTTTTATTTCGGGGGTGAGCTGGCAAGGGTATGCTGGAGTCGTGACTGGTGCCCCCTGAGCTCACAAAGGCTGCTGAATGCTCGGGCAAGTTGGTTAAAAGGTCACATCATTACTCTGGGACTTAACCCCACTTGTTATTTCCAATATTGAATCCTTTAGTGCTCACCTCTCACATCTCTTTAAACACCCCCTACCCACTCCCGGTACCTTATCCATGCCAATCCATGCCCCCCAATTCTTCTGACTGCTTCCTAAAATCCATGTCATCCTAGAATACCTCATCCAATATACACTCTGAGTAAAATGAATAAACCCTATAATGGCATGAATGGAAAGGTTTTTTTAAAAAAAGTTCAGAAGTTTATCTTTAGTAAAAGCCCTGAAGTTCCTGAAATCCTAGAAAAGTACCAAACAACCAAAGTGTTAAACTATCGACAGTAGAAACTACAAGCACACAATTGTGTAAATATATAGCTAACCATTGACAGACTAGAACTGAGACACAAGAGAAATCAATCAAGAACTGTTTTCCCTCCTATGTAGCTGTATCAATAAACTAATGAATATCTGGGCTCTCTGCCAAATGCAATGACTAAGACTTAGAAGAGTCAGTTGTTTTTCTAGTCCCATAACCCTGAAGGTCAGAACATAACGTAAAATGCCCTTTCCAGTTACAAAGATGACCAATTAAATGCCCTAACTATATCAGGTTTTAAACAAAACAACTAACAAGCAGGTTTCTTAATAAACAGAATTATGGTTTTATTATCAAATTTATTGAATAAAGATGCAGTAATTGGTTAACATTGTCAGTAATATAGAAGTATAAATGCTTGTCGCTCTAAACATTCCCAAATCCCAAAGCACACAACTAAACGTACGCTCTCTTTGGGAACAGAGGGAAAAGCAGATTTCTCCACAGAGTCTGATATCCTGAAAAAAAGAACATTTGACCAAAAGATTACATTTGAAGGCAAAAGGATAAACTGTGAAATGTTCTATTGCTCTAATGTTCTGGCACATGTGGCCAAGTCACTAATCACACAAGGTTATCTCTGAAATCTTGTGGACACAGCTTACTCAGGAAGTGCTCTTTTGACCTGGTATTTAGTCAGCTTTTCAAAGCAACAAAGAGGATTCATCCTGAGTCCATTAAGAGGGTTTTCTGACCAGAAATGGCTGAGATCAGCTGCAATAGAGTTAGGCAATATCCTGGTAAATCTCCACTGCACCCTCTCCAGTGCTATCACATCCCTTCTATAAAGTGGATTCCAGAACTACACACAATACGCTAGCTGTGGCCCAGCCAATGCCTATACAGTAAACTCTATGCCTCAGCTAATAAAGGCAAATGTCCTGCACTCCTTTTTAATCACTTTTTCTGTCCCATTACTTTACCCTGGTGGACATGCACATCAAGGTCCCTCTGATCCTTGGTGCTTCCCAGGGTCCTACCATTCATCACGTATTCCCTTGCCTTGTTTGTTCTGCCCAAGTGCATTATCTCACACACATCCATTTGAATTCCATTTGTCATTGATCAGCCTATCTGACCAGTTTGTCTCTACCCGCCTGCCATCCTTCTCACGATTTACCATTCCACCAATTTTCGTATCATCCGTGAACTTACTGATCAACCTCCTACATTCGAACCTAAATCATTTTTATACACCACAACCAGCAAAGGTCCCAACACGACAATCCCTGAGGAATCCCATTGGACCCAGGCTTCCAGTCATAAAAACACCACTCACCCATCACCCTCTGCTTCCTGCCACTCAGCCAATTATAGATCCAAGTTAGCCAAATGTCCTTAGATCCCATGGGCTCTGATCTTCACTATCAGTCTTCCATGTGGGACCTTACCAAAAACCCTGCTGAATTCCAAGTAGACAATGTTGAATGCATTGCCCTCATCTATACACCTGGTTACATTTTCTAAAAATTCAATCAAGTTGGTCAGACATGACCTCCCGTTAACAAACCATGGTGACTGTTTTTGATTAATCCCTGCATCTCCGACTGCAGATTAATTCTGTCTCTCAGAACTGTTTCCAAAATTTCCCCACCATCAGGTTACACACTCTGGCCTGTAGTTTCCTGGTTTAACCCTTGCCCCCTTCTTCAATAATGGTACCACACTGGCTGTCCTCCAGTTCTCTGGCACCTGTCCTGTGGCCAGGGATAGATTGAATATTGTTGTTAATGCCCCTTCTGTTTCCTCCCTTGCCTCCCTTGAATCACTGAACTACCTGGGATATACTTCACCTAGCCCTGGAGATTTATTTACTTCTAAACCTTCCAGGCCACTCCGAACTCCTGTCTGTCTATGCTAATTACTTTAAGTATATCATTATCCTTCTCCTTTAATCTTCTGCCCACATTGTTCCTCTCATGAGTGAACACCGACACAAGGTGTTGAGAAGCTTACAGATGTCCTCCAGGCACAAATTACCACTGTGCTCCTCAATGGGCCCGACACTTTCCCTAATTATCCTTATGTAAAATAACTTAGGATTTTCCTTTATTTTACCTGCCATTATCCTTTCATGCCCTTATATTTTCCCTCATTTCTTTTTAAGTATCCTCTTGCTCAATCTGTACTCCTCTTGGGCTTCTGCTGTTTTGAGCCCTCAGTACCTGCCATAAGCCACCCCTTTCCACTTTATCCAATCCTGTATATTCCTTTATATCCAGCATTCACTGGATTTGTTGGTCCCACCCTTTATCTTTATTGGACTATGTTGCCTCTGTACTCTCCCTGTTTCTTCTTGATGGCATCCCACTGCTCTGACACACATTTACCTAAAAGTATCTGCTCCCAGTCCACTCTGGCCAAGTCACGACCTGATCTTATTAAAATCAGCCTTCCCCCAATTTAGAACTTTGATTTCAAGCCCATTTTTTTCCTTTTCCACAACAATCTTGAAACTAACGAAGCTATGATCGCTGTCTGCAAAATCCTCCCCCATTGAAACTTCAACCACTTGTCTGGCTTTATGAACTAAAATTAAGTCCAGCACTTACCCCATCTTGTAGGGCCTTTGATGTACTGGCTTAAAAAAGCTCTCCTGGATGCATTTTGAGAATTTTGCCCCTCTAAACTTTCACACTATGACTATTTAGTTAACAATGGAGAAGTTGAAATCCCCTACCATCGCTACCGTATTACTTTTACACTTCCTTGAAATTTACCTACATATCTGTTTTTCTATTCCTCTTGGACTATTAGGGGACCTATAGTACACTCTCAGCAATGTGGTTTTTAAGTTAATTTAGGAAACCTTCTAAGATATTATCCCTCCTTCTTGCTATAATTGATTCCTTGATCAATATTGCGACACCCCTCCTTTACTACTTCCTTGCCTGTCTCACTGAAGACCAAAGAAGACACTGAAGATCCTGGAAAATTGAGCTGACAACCTTGCCTCTCTTTCAACAATGTCTCAATGATAGCAATGACATCATGGCCCCACGTTTTAATTTGTTCCCTCATCTTACCTTCCTTGTTCATCAAACTCCTTGCGGTAAAATAAATAAGTATGATCCAACCTTCCCAAAATCCCTTGTGCCTTCAATAGCCAATAATTTCTAGGCTTACTTGACTCGCTTGCCACCTCTTCTAATTTTGGCTATTCATCTCTCCCCTGCTGACCCTTCTCTCACAATCCCAATCCCCTGCCAAGTTAGTTTAAACTCTCTCCAAAAGCATTAGCAAACCTATCCACAAAGATGCTGCTCCCATTCAAGTTCAGATGCAACTTGTCTGACTTGTACAGCTTTCACTGCCCCCAAAAACAGTCCCAGTGTCTCAGAAATCTAAAGCCCTTCCTCCTGCACCATCTCTCCAGCCATGCATTCACCTAGACTAACCTTCTATTTTCTATACTCAATAGCACGTGGTATTCAGAGATTATGACTTTTGGACCATGTTTTTTAATCTATTTCCTAGCTCCCTAAATTCTGTTTTCAGGATCTCATCCCTTTTACAACATATATCATTGGGTACCAATATGTATCACATTCTTTGTCTGCTCTTGCCCTTCAGAGTGCCCTGCAGTCTTTCAGTGGCATCCCTGACCCTGGCACTGGGGAGGCAAAAACCAACCTGAAGTTTCTTTTGCAGCTGTAGAAATACCTATCTGTTGCCCTCACAATTGAGTCCCCTGCCACTATAGCCCTGCCATACTCCCTCATGCCCTTTCATGCAGCAGACCCATCCGTGATGCCATGAAGCTAGCTCCCGCTGATTTCCTCTGCTCGGTCGCTGATTCAACCTCTCATCTCCCTCATCTCATGCAATTCTACCCCTCCTCTTGCCATAGCTATGCCATTCAGGGCCTGGTAAGATTCCACCTAACATCTTCCTTCATCCAACAATTTCCAAAAAGTCACAGCCTCAAAACCTATGCTGTCATTGTTATTGACTCCTCATTGATTCTGTAATCAAATTCCGATATGACCGTAGGGACTTCTTTAGTGAATGGAGACTGTGTATAAGTAATGCTTTCTGATAGCTTACCACAGTAATCAAGGTTGCAGTAATCGATTTCCACTGCTGGGTCAGTGGTGAAACACCATGCACCATCTTCATCCCCATCTGGATTTCTGCAGTAATTTCCTTCTAGATTTGCTAATATCATTTCCTCTCTGGTAAAATTGTGCTTGTGGGGGTACTGTGAGTTCCAGAACTGGCACTGTTTTCCACGTCTAGTTACATTCTGTGTTCCTCTGTAGTCCACTCCCTGATTTGGAACACAAGAGCTAAGTGGTACTGACACTGGTGGTTTTGTTGGTAATGGTGGCAATTCTTCACCTAAAGAAGCAACAGAAATGTGTGAAAAAAAATGTTGGCTGAACACACCCAATTTTCACCTGGGGAAACAGCCTGTCATTGTGAACCACATGTGTTGTGATATCATGAAGAGAGTTTCAACCACTGAGGTTGTTGACTTGCTCGCCGAGCCAGTGTGTTTGATTGCAGACGTTTCATCACCCTGCTAGGTAACATCGTCAGTGCGCCTCCAGTGAAATGTTGGCATTCTGTCTTGGTTGTTATTGATATGCCTCGGTTTGCTGGGATGGTTGGTATAACTTCCAGTTCTGTGTCTCAGTGGTTTGTATATCGGGTCCAGTTCGAAGTGTTTGATGATGGAGTTCCGGTTGGAATGCCAGGCCTCCAGGAATTCCCTGGCATGTCTCTGTTTGGTTCGTACTATTATGGATGCATTGTCCCAGTCGAATTCATGTCCTTCTTTGTCCGTGTGTGTTGAGACCAGTGAGAGTTGGTCATGTCTCTTGGTGGTTAGTTGGTGTTCTTGTATCCTTATTGTCAGTTTTCTTCCAGTTTGGCCTATCTGGTGTTTCTCACAGTCCTTGCATGATATTTTGTATATTATGTTAGTTTTATTGGTTGTGGGTATGGGATCCTTTACATTCGTCAGTAGCTGTCGCAGGGTGGTTGTTGGTTTGTGGGCTACCCTGATACCTAGGTGTCTGAGTATTCTTGTAGTCATCTCTGATATCAGAATTCGACTGGGACAACACATCCATAATTGCAAGAGCCAAACAGAGACATGCCAGTGAATTCTTGGAGGCCTGGCATTTCAACCGGAACTCCATCAACAAACACATTGAACTGGACCCGATTTACAAACCACTGAAGAACAGAACTGGAAGTTATACCAACCACCCCAGCAAACCGAGGCATATCAATAACAAGCGAGACAGAATGCCAACACTTCACCGGAGGCGCACTGATGATGTTACCTAGCAGGGTGGCGAAACGTCTGCAATCAAACACACCAGCTCGGCGAGCAAGTCTACAACCTCATCCACAACCAGAGCTACATATCTTCTCAAAAATTTTGAAACTTCAATCACTGGCTGGGCATGTCTAATTGAATTATGCATGTGCATCTTCAGTTGACCATTTTCATGTTCCAGTCAGGAAGGTGAGGCAGAACTCTCCAGTAAATGAAGAAAAACCAGAGATTTATCATGTTCAGGATGCACAAGTTAATAGCGTGAGCCTGGAACTCTTCACTACTTGCCCTCGGTGTGCTACAGGGACTTGTAACAGGGGATTAAGTGGACAGAAAATGATGATGACATCCCCTTCAATCTACAACATTAATTATTGAAGAATCATATAGAATCCCTACAGCATGGAAGCAGGCTATTCAGCCCATCAAGTCCACACCGACCTTCCAAGGAGCATGCCAGTAACCCTGCATTTTCCACAGCTGATCCACCTGTATACACACAATGGGGAATTTAGCACAGCCAGTCTACCTAACCTGCACATCTTCGCACTGAGAGAGGAAATAGGAGCAAGCCCACACAGACATGGGGAGAATGTGCAAACTGCACACAGTCTCCCTGGGGTGGAATCGAACCCAGGTTCTTGGCACTGGGAGGCAGCAGTGCTAACCACTGAGCCAATGTGCTACCCATCCTGGAAGGGCCTGGATCTGTCCTATGTCAGCAGATCTTAGTCAGGATGCTGAGTGACTCTGGGTTAAGAACGGGAGACATCAAAGGCCGCTGCAGCTCACTGCCATCCAGCAAACCTCCACTTCCCCCCACCCCCACAACCCACTCAAACTGCCTGCCTGCCAATGTTTGAGCAGGATTAGGGATTGACTGGGGCACCCCCATCAACATAATTGATTGCACGGTTCACCACCTCAGAATGAGAAATACCACTCGGACAAGTGACAAGATGATTGTTAGGACACTGCCTTTCAGGATAGAATGGGCAAGAGTAAAGAAATCAGCAGGAATTTTCAAGTAAGTCAGAAATTTGATGATTCAGAAAGTATAATTACAGCAGCAGAGGTGGCAATGGTCAGACCAGATTGCTGGTGTGGGGCAAGTTTTGGTAAATACAAAAATGCTTTCGGATCTGTGCTTGCTGTACTACATAACTCCTTGGAATCCTTGCACTGAGTTATTGCCCGTGCCACTGCAACTCAAATGTCCCGAGTCAGAAGAGACAATACAGACAGCAATAATAGAAAATGAAGCTTTTAATTAACTGGAGCTCGAATCAGAGGGGAAAAGAAACTAAGCAAAATAAAGACAAAATGAGACCTACCACAGCGTGGAACGTAACATGCTTCCATTTGGACTGTTGGGTCCTTAGTGTAGCACCACGGCCCCATGTTACTGTCACTTGGATTTCGGCAGTAGTTATTTATAAGGTCAGACTGGTTGTGTGTATCTGGATTGTATCTAAACATGTAACAGAAAGGCAGCAAAAGTACAACACATGAGATCTAGCAATCAAAAATGTTGGATATACTCAGCAAGTCAGGCTGTATCTGTACAAAGTGCCAGAATTAATAAGCTGAATGTTACTAGATGCCTGGGGACACTCTGAGAGAGGTTGTAAAATGGATCCTGGGTGGGCTGTCCAATGTAATCCCTCTGCCCTGCCACCTTGCCAGAGGCAGGGAAGGTTGATGGTCTCACACAAAGGCCAAAGGAGTGATTTGAGAGGCTGATTAAAGGCTTCTTCTTGCAATCACTGGAATTTTACCAGCAGTGGATGTCTACTGCATGGAGAGATCATTAGGTGAACCCTGTAACCTCCAATCCAGCTCAGGGTGGGGGGGTCTGCTCTCATATGTGAGCACTCTTTCAGTAACCCTTTACAGCACTGCCTTCCTTCACCAAACCCACACCTATGCCTCAGTGGGACATTCCTGATTGGCCCTTGCACCCCCAGCCTTAGTTAACTAGTCGGGAGGGAGAATGGTTCCATTATGTCCTCTTCTTGCAGGTGCAGTCCTAACAGAGGCCACTGATCCTGGTGGCACCTTTGAACAGCTAAATCCTGATTTCCCAATGGCTCTTGGATATGGGCGTCTGTTCTTAATATGGATAGCAGCCCTAGCGGTGGACAATTGCCCTGACAAGATATGATCCTGGGTCCTACAGATCACTGAAATTATGTCACTTTAATATGTGAGGCCAAACAATAGTTTATACAATTTTAGCATAACTTCCTTCCTTTTGCACACAAGGCCACTGTCCACCTTTACTCTCTGTTTCCTCTGACACAGCTAATTTTGTATTTGGCTGTTACGAGCCCTTTCATTCCATGGTTTTCTAACGTTGCTGACAAGATTACGATTGTTATGTGCATTTTATCAAATGCATTTTGGCAATCTATGTGCATCACATCAACCTCATTTCCCTCATCAAGTGTCTCTTGTCAGTAACAAAGCTTCATCATCAAAAAACTCAAGTAAGTTAATTAAACACAATTTGTCCTTAATTAATCCATATGTTTACAATTGACTTTATTTGGTCCTGAATTCTGGTTTTCAACTAGCAAGGTTAAACTGTCACCAGGGATCATCTATCTTTAAATCACCAATGGTGAACTTATGTCCTTTGTTGGATGCTTTTCTAGATAGATGGATTATGTTTGAAATATAATCACAGCAAAAAGTCTACCACACATAATTAACCGGCTTAGTTGCATTCAAATAAACTCTCCAAATCAGAATTCTCAGGATGAGGTTTTTTTTGCGAGGGTAACATTTATTGCACATTCCACGTTGCTTCAAGAAAGTAGAATCATAAAGTCATACAGTATGGAAATAGACCTTTCGGTCCAACCAGTCCATGCCGACCATGTTCCCAAACTAAACTAGTCCCCCCTGCCTGCACTTGGTCCATATCCTCCCAAATCTTTCCTAATCATATAATTACCCAAATGTCTTTTAAATGTTGTAATGGTGCCTGCTTCCACCACTTCCTCTGGCAATTCATTCTACACTTGAAGCACTCTTTGTGTAAAAAAATAGTTGTCCCTCATGTCCCTTTTAAACCTTTCTCTTCTCACCTTAAAAATATGCCCCTTAGTTTTGCATTCCCCCACCCTAGGGAAAAGACCCTTGTTATTCACCTCAGCTGTGACCCTGATGATTTTATAAACCTCAGTAAGGTCACCCCTCAACCTCCCAAACTCCTGGTAGTGGAGACACCTCCCTCTCATCGCCAAAGCTGTAGAGATTTGATGTAATTAACTAGGCAATTTCAGGGAGCAGTTAGGAGTCAATTATGCTGGCATGGAACTGAAATCACAAGTAGGACTGAAGATTTCCTTCTCTAGAGGGTATTAAGTTAACCAGTTGGGTTTGCTAATAATCTGACAGCTGCACAGCTCCATTTTATCAGATGTCACCTTTTTACATACACAGATATTGTAAATTATGAATTCAAATTCTCCAGCTTTCATTACAAGACAAAGCATAGGAGAGCTTTTAATAACTGCTCAATGCACTGATGAAAGCTGCCTTGGTCACTTACTTCGGTTTGTGTGGGTAGTTACTTGACCAGCTCTGACACTGCCTCCCAGACACAGTCATTGCAGCATTGCCCTTGTAATGGGAGCCAATCCCTTGATAGCATTCTCCTGAAGAAACAAAGAATTTCATTTCCATCACACTTTTTTTTCTTAATAATTGAACAAGTAGTAATTCAAACATTTGACTGCCATTCTGGTGACTACTGAGGTTCTCAGAGTTCAGCTTAGAAGTGGAGGCTCAGGCTGATCTACATGTTGTTGAGCAGAGGTATCTCAAACTTTTTTCATGAGTTTTCAAGGTTTTTCAAGAACACATCACCTGAAGGTTCATGAAGTTGTGTTCAACTTAGAAGTACATGCACCCACTAACCTGTCATCCATGACCTAACTGCTGAGCTGTGGGGTTAAGATAGATGGAATCAGGGCTGAACCCTCTGTTGTCCTTGTTCTTCAGTAAGAGGTGCCGAGGTCAAGTCTTATTAGGAATTGATTTTCCCACGAGCCACACAGGAAGAAAAAGCCATTATTAAAATATAACATTAATACTTTAATAACTGCTTGCAGTTGCAGGTTGAAATTGATAGCACAAAACAAAAAATTCTGGAACTATTCATTAAAGGTAATTTGTTTTTGGACTGGATGAGAATAAACAGAGAGTTCTAGTGAACCACTGGTTTTCTTCATATACGTCAGTGTCTAGACATTTGGGTGTATAGAGTAGAATTTCAAATTTTACAGGTGATGCACAACTTAAAAGCCATTATGAATTGTGAGAAGAAGACATGGAAAGGTTGGTGCTGTAGGCAGATATGTGGCAGATGAAATTTAATACTGAGTACAAAAACAAAGTTGCTGGAAAAGCTCAGCAGGTCTGGCAGCATCTGTGAAGGAGAAAACAGAGTTAACATTTCGGGTCAGGTGACCCTTCCTCAGAACTGCTGAGTAGTGTGAAGTGGGATCTTGGCTGAAATAATGAGGTTAGGCAATATAAAAGAAAGGGTACAATTTTAATAGGACTTCAATTGTGTGCAGAGCATTGAAAATTGAAGGTCATGGAGTCATAGAGTCATAAAAGCACAGAAACAGACCCTTCAGTCCAACTTTCCATGCTGACCAGGTTTCCCAAACTAAGCTAGGCCCAGTTACCTTAGTTTGGCACATATCCCTCTAAACCTTTTCAAACCTGTTCAAATGTCTTTTAAATGTTGTAACTGTGCTGAACTATCACTACTTCTGGCAATTCATTTCATACATGCACCACCCTCTAAGTAAAGTTGCCCCTCATTTAAACCTTTCCCTTCTCACATTAAACCGATGCCCTCTAGTTTTGAACTCTCCTACCCTTTCCTCTTCACCTTATTTATGCCTCTCATGACTTTATAAACCTCTATAAGGTCACCCCTCAAACCCCTATGCTCCAGAGAAAAAAAAAGTCCCAGCCTACCCAACCTCTCCTTATAACTAAAATCCTCCAGTCCCAGAAACACCTTTGTAAATCGTTTTTGCACACTTTCCAATTTAACATCCTTCTTATACAAGGGTGACCAGAACTGTATGCAGTACTCCAAAACTGTATGCAGGCCTCAGCAATGTCCTGTACAGCCACAGCATGATGTCCTAACTCCTATTCTCAATGCTCTGACCAAGAAGGCAAGCATGTCAAATGCCTCCTTCACCACCCTATCTACCTGTGAAGCCACTTTTAAGGAACTATGTACCTGAATCCCTAGGTCTCTCTGTTCCACAACAATCCCAAGGGACTTCAGTAAGTCCTACCCTGGCTTGTCTTACCGTCATGGAACACCTCACATTTATCTAGATTAAACTCCATCTGCTACTCTTCCCCCCCATGGCCCAGCTGATCAATACCCCTTTGTACTCTTCGATAACCTTCCTCACTGTCCACTTTCCTGCCAATTTTAGTGTCATCTGCAAACTTACTAGCTATGCTTTCTATATTCTCATCCAAACCATTTATATAAATGACTGAGTTGATAGTGTCCTATGCTTTTTTAATGGAGGCTCAGAATACAAAAGCAAGGGAGCTATGGTGAAGCATTGTACAATATTGGTTCGATCTCAACTGGAGTATGATGTCCAATTCTCGGCATTGCATTTTTGGAAGATGGTAAGGCTTTAGAGGGATGTATAAAAGAATTATGAGAATGGTTGGGGGCTGAGGAACTTCAGTTCTGTGGATAGATCAGTGAAGCTGGGCTGTTCTCTTGAGAGAAGTTTGAGAACAGATTCAATAGAGGTGTTCAAAATCACGGGAGTTCTAGAAAGAATAGACAGAGAAAGACTGTTCCCATTGGATGAAAGAATTGAGAATCTGATGGCACAGATTTAAGGTGGCAAAAAGTCAACAACAAAATAATACTTTTTTTAAAAGCAGCATTTTGCTAGGACTGTGGTGGAGGCTCAATTGTGAGATTCAGAAAGGAGTTAGATAGATGAAGAGTAAAAAAAATACTGGGCTACAAAAAAGGGCAGGGAAATGTGACCAGCAGCATGGCCGAATGGCCTCAATCCATTTTGTGAAGGTGATGGTGTGTTGGTAATGTCAATGGTTTAGTAATCCAGCATCTCAGACCATTGTTCTGGGGTTGTGCTTGAATCCCAAGTTGAATTTAATAAAAATCGTCTAGCCAGCAATGCCCATATCCCATGAATAAATAAAAAAAAACTTTCCATGATTCTGTATGAAAGTAATTCTGGCAGTATATGTGAACAAAAAAATGGAATTAACATCCCAGGACAATGGACTTTAATCAGACCAGAAGATGTTGTGACTGAACAGCTTGGAAGCAGCCCTGGTTTTATTTCTGCTTAAAAGTTATTCATCTTTTGCACTTTCAAATTCTTATGAATTGTTATCGACCTGAAACATTAGGTCTGTTTCTTTCTCTATGGTAACAGCTGAATGTTTCTTGTCGTTTCTGTTTCCAATTTCAGATTTCCAGCATTCTCACTGTTCTCCTGTTGTGTAAAGTATGCATGACTGTTAAATAGTTACAATCAGTACATTCCAAAGGAATTGGTATTGATGGCCCTGTTTTTCACCCTGGGAGAACATCACCATCAATGAGATTGGCACAAGGTAATACAGCCTGTGCAGGCATGATGGGCTGAACGGCCTCTTTCTGTTCCATAACAGTTCGGTGCATTTATTTTGGATAGCCAGAGTAGTCCTTTTGGAGAGCTGAAGTACCTCTGAGGATATTATGACAATGTCAACTTCACAAGTGGCAACAAGTGTTGACCCGCCAAGAAGCTTCAAGAAGTTCAAGATCTGACAACCCATCAAGAAGCTACAACAACTGTCAAGATCTGTCGACTTGTCAAGCAAAGTACATAGGAATGAAAGTGTTTTTCTTAATAGAGTGTAGTCTGCAGTTTGGAAACTGAAGCTTTATTTTTCCTCCAATGTGTATGGATACTTCTGGATACTTAATTGGTTGGCATGGTAGGTGTATCAGGTGCTATAGGGAATGGGTAGAGGGCATTAGGTTGCATGAGTTGGCACTGAAGGGACATGGGGAGTAAGTGGGGAGAAGGTAAAGTGAAGCGGGAGCTAAGATGAACAGTAGTTTTATATTTCTCCTCTTTTGATGGTTAGATACTTGTCTGCATCTGGTCCTGGGACATGTTTGATGGAGGTAAGACATTCTTTGAGGAGAGTCCGGTGACTGCTTATTTGGAGGAATGGTACCTTTGGGATTGTGAAAAAGAATGTTTATTTGTAAAAACTGCATAAATTCATTGGCACTGGCAAAGTTGTCAAGTCATCAACCAAAATCAGTGTAGTTAAAATATAATGTTAGCCAGTTCAGAGTGTCTGTTTACATAAGGCCATTACAGAATTTGTACTACATAATTGATTTCCAATCTATTACTTTCACAAGGGAATGCCTATTAATGGACAGCTCCAACTGATGATTGAATAGAAATGTTTGCTGACATAAGGGATTAAACACCCAAGTGAAATGTTTGTTTACATTTGTAACCATTTGAATGTATTGGTTCTTTTATGATTTCTTTTAATAGTGAGATCATCAATATATTGATTACTTTCTTTCAGGATACCTCCTGAGTAATGCCCATGCTGGATTATAGATAAATTGTCATTGAAGGAGGGGCAAAGGGTAGTGAGTGGTGGTGTCAGGGCTACAAAGGACCATTGGAATTATTGGGGGCATATGCGAGATGGGAAGATAGACATAAGGTAGCACAGGGGCTACAAGGGACCATGGAGTTTGGGTATAGGGGCATAGGTTGGCATGGATGGGGCACAGAAAGTGAGGAAAGTGAGAGCGGGGGGAGTGATTCCTGTTTTTATATTTAATTTTAAACTTTAAACAAAACGCTGGAGCCACAAGGTATGCTTTCCACCCATCCTGCATCAGGAACCAGCAGCCCCCTTAGGACCTTCCCAGCTTGTCCATTACAACTCCCAGTCCATGCCATACATGCCCACCCTCAACTTGAAACTGGAAGTGCCGGCAGCCATTTTTAAATCTTTAGAGCTGAGGTTTCTTCAGCCACTTGTGCACCCAACCCAGGTACATTATTCAGGACTGAAGAGTTTCAAACTTTCTGAAGTGGTTCTATGTCAGTGGAAGGGCTATGACTTTGTTGGGTCTATTCATTTCTGTTGGGCAGGTGGCATCAATTGCTAACAGTTTGAGCACTTTGATAACAAATAGCATGGGAGGGGATACGGAGAGGGGGGGGGACAACGTTTAACGCAGAGAAAACTAATTGAAAAGACAAGAACATGGCATGTTAATTTGCCGCTAAATGAGTGAATTACTCTCACAATTTAGTTTCTTTTGACAGAGTTGCCCACTGTCAATTCTTACCATCTAGACATTTCTTCAGGTGATCTGGAGGGGAACTGCCTTCGTTATCAGCAACACATACTGGAAATAAAAGCACACAGTAATATTAAACGCAACTGTGTCATGTATTGGCATGAATATCAGAATAGGTAATCAATAGAAAAGGTGATAATCAGTGAGGCTACATGGATTAATAATCTAGAGAATGTCAGTTCAGGTTCCACCACAGAGACTGAGAAAGAACTGGACTTCGATATCAGTTAAAGTGACCACAAAGCTGTTAACTTAATATGAAAATATGACTGGTTTGTGAAAGTCCTTTAGGAAAGGAAACCTGATGTCTATCCTACATGGTGACTCTAGTCTCAGTGATTAATTCTTAGCTACCCTCCAAAGGAACTTAGAAAACTACTCTGCTCTGTCGAACTACTAGCAAGTATAACAGCAAACACTCCCGAGTTAACAGCTTTGTGGTCGCACATGGACTTCAGAATTCACAAAAAATTACAGCCAATTTTTTAGTGCAAGATAGCAATGGGCAATAGGCTGTGTTGGCAGCAATAGCTGAGAATGCATTGAAAACACAAGTAAGTTTTTAATGGTTTGAAATTCATAATATTCAGCTTAGACATTCCAAGTACAAATCAAGTGAACTAATGTTTCCTATTCCAGAAACCCAGAGAAGCCTAACACAGGGCAACTGCCAAGTTTAAGTAGATGAGAGAAGGAGGAGCGGGGAGAGAGAGGTCAATCTGTGATGCAGAAAATCTGTTTGAAAAGAGAAAATGACATAAAAGAACTAGAAGCCAAGTTTCTTACCCTCATAAGTGACCCAAAATTTCTCCTGAGAAAGAGAAAACAATTATTAATAAATAGCTTGCTGTAAAAGAGAATATTTAGAAGATTAGATTTTTAAAAATTAGTTTTAAGTTAATTTTTTTAGCCATCTCGATAGTATTCATTATTCTCCAGTTAGAATAGAATGCCTACAGTGTGGATGCAGGCCATTTGGCCCATTGAGCCCACAGTGACCCTCCAAAGATCATCCCACTCAGACCCATCCCTCTACATTTCTCATGGCTAATCCACCTATCCTGCACATCCATGGACACTACGGGCAATTTAGCATGGCCAACCCACCAGACATGGGGAGAATGTTCAAATTCCACACAGACAGTCACCCAAGACTGGAATCAAACCCAGGTCCTCAGGTGCTGTGGGGCAGCAGTGCTAACCACTGACTGACACATGAGCATTTCTCAATATCTCACATTGGGAAGCTTGCTTAAGATGGAGGAAGCAAGGATTGAACAGGGCTCGAGAGGGTTACAAGGTAGCCAGGAAGTAACTGAAGAATGGACTTTGGAGAGCTAGAAGGGGGCATGAAAAAGCCTTGGCGGGTAGGATTAAGGAAAACCCCAAGGCTATACTTATGTAAGGAACAAGAGGATGGCCAGCGTGAGGGTAGGGCCAATCAGGGATAGTGGAGGGAACTTGTGCCTGGAGTCGAAGGAGGTAGGAGAGGTCCTTAATGAATATTTTGCTTTAGTATACACTAGTGATAGAGACCTTGACGTTTGTGATGACAGTGTGAAACAGGCTGTTATACTCAAACAGGCTGATGTTAGGAAGGAGGATGTGCTAGAAATTTTGAAAAACATGAGGATAGATAAGTCCCCTGGGCAAGACAGGATGTACACAAGGTTGCTACGGGAAGCTAGGGAAGAGATTGCTGTCCCTTTGGCAATGATCTTTGCGTCCTCACTGTCCACTGGAGTAGTACCAGATGATTGGAGGGTGGCAAATGTCATTCCCTTGTTCAAGGAAGGAAATAGGGATAACCCTGGGAATTACAGACCAGTCAGTCTTGCTTCTGTGGTGGGCAAATTATTGAAGAGGATTCTGAGAGACAATATTTATGATCATTTGGAAAGAACAGTTTGATTAGAAATAGTCAGCATGGCTTTGTGAGGGGCAGGTCATGCCTCACAAGCCTTATTGAATTCTTTGAGGATGTGACAAAACACATTAATGAAGATAGAGCAGTGGATGTGGTGTATATGGATTTTAGCAAGGCGTTTGATAAGGTTCCCTATCGTCGGCTCAATCAGAAAGTAAGGAGGCATGGGATTCAGGGAAATTTGGCTGTCTGGACACAGAATTAGCTGTCCAATAGAAGACAGAGGGTGGTAGTAGATGGAAAGTATTTACCCTGGAGCTCGGTGACCAGTGGTGGTCCACAGGGATCTGTTCTGGGACCTCTGCTCTTTGTGATCTTTATAAATGACTTGGATGAGGAAGTGGAAGGGTGGGTTAGTAAGTTTGCCGATGACACGAAGGTTGGTGGAGTGTGGACAGTGTGGAGGGCTGTTGTAGGTTGCAACGGGACACTGACAGGATGCAGAGCTGGGCAAAGAAGTGGCAGATGGAAGTCAACCTGGAAAAGTGTGAAGTGATTCATTTTGGAAGGTTGAATTTGAATGCAGAATACAGGGTTAATGGCAGGATTCTTGGCAGTGTGGAGGAACAGAGGTATCTTGGGGTCCACGTCCATAGATCTCTCAAAGTTGCTACCCAAGTTGACAGCATTGTTAAGAAGGTGTATGGTGTCATGGCTTTCATTGGCAGGGGAATTGAGTTTCAGAGCTGTGAGGTTATGCTGCAACTCTATAAAACCCTGATTTGACCACACTTGGAATATTGTGTTCAGTTCTGGTCACCTTATTATAGGAAGGATGTGAAAGCTACAGACAGGGTGCAGAGGAGATTTACCAGAATGCTGCCTGGACTGGAGGGCAGGTCTTTTAAGGAAAGGTTGAGGGAGCTAGGGCTTTTCTCATTGGAGCGAAGAAGGATGAGGGGTGACTTGATAGAGGTGTACAAGATGATGAGAGGCATAGATAGAGTGGATAGCCAGAGACATTTTCCCAGGGCAGAAATGGCTATCACAAGGGGGCATAATTTTAAGATGATTGAAGGAAGGTATAGGGAAGATGTCAGAGGTAGGTTCTTTACACAGAGAGTGGTGGGTGCTTGGAATGCACTGCCAGCGGTGGTAGTAGAGTCAGATACATTAGGGACATTTAAGAGACTCTTGGATAGGCACATGGATGTTAGTAAAATGAAGGGTATGCAGGTTAGTTTGATCTTAGAATAGGATAATAGGTCGGCACAACATCGTGGGCTGAAGGGTCTGTACTGTGCTGTACTGTTCTATGTTCTATTATAAAGTAACTTCAATTTTCCCTCCATTTGCTGAGATGAAGAATTTACAGGTTGAGGACATGCATGAATCCAAACCTTCCCACTGTAGGTAATGGGCATCCTATCTGGGCTGATGGCTTAAATGGGTTTGATGTTGAATTACAAGGGAAGGGGGCAATCTGTTTTTATTTTGTCTGCATGCTAGTTTGTCAATACTATCACAGCTATATTTTGAAAGCACTACGGATTTTTGATGATGGTAACATACGTAATATTATCAACATGAGACTGGATGGTAAAATAAGAGGCTTAATTGGAGAGATGGATAAAAATGATCATAGGAATCATGATGCATTTGTTGAATGTTGTGAGGCAGCACTGCTAAGTCATGCTGCCTGCTTATTTGAATAGGTTCTACATTCAGTAAGCTGTCACCTTACTGTTTATTGGTCTTATCAGTAAGGGGGACCAATATCACAACTTCTCAGGACATGCTAAAGCTAGCTTGCACCTCTTAAAAGGAGAGCTGCACTGTGCCTGGAGCAGATGCTAGCAATTTTGCAGAAAGGGAACAATGAGAATAGCACAACATGGCTGAAGGTAGGATCCAATGTCTTTGGACTCTGCACTCAGGCCTGGGTTGAGGAGGTAGGAATTAGGAGGGAGGTACTGTGGCCACAGGAGGCCGTGAGACACATTATTGAAAAAAAGTGACGCCATATAGCTGTGGAGGTCAGCACCTGAGGATCCAGTGCAGTGTTACAAGACGTTCAATGGCCTGATGTGGATCCAAAGGGGGGTACCAAAAGGCGGTACCAAAGGATGATACCAAAAGCGGGGTACCAAAGGGGAGTACCAAAAGCAGGGGGCAGGTAATAAATTAGGAAGGTTTGGGACAATATGGCGAGAGATTTCACTGGGCCTCATGGAGAGAAACCCTCTATAAAACACAATGAAAGTGACAATTAACCCAAAAAATGTAAGATTCAGCCATTAATTTTCTTAAAACCTCATTTGAACATGACATAATTTAAATCACCACGACATACTGACAATATACTTTCTAAATAAGTTTAATTTCTGGTCTTGTTCCTTACTGTTGCCTGGTCATCCTCAAACACTTCACGGGCCTCTTCATGATCACAGTATTCCTCGATACATTCTCGCTCTAAATCTCCAGATTTTGCTTCTTCTAAGAACCTGTTGGCTCGCCGAATTCGATTCAACACAGAGGATGCTTCCTGGTTGTTGAGGAACACTGAATAAAGTGAATAATGCATTGTGAAACAAATAAATAACATGGGACACAAAACAGGTAGAAGGAAGAATTAAACTCATGTACGAGTTTAGTTGGTACATGTGCATTGGTGCACAGGGAGGGAGAGGGCATCACGTTGGGATGGACTACTGTTACTAGAATCGGCAGACAAACCCTGACACCCAGAACTATGAAACAGATCTGTCTATCGGGGAAACATTTCCATTTGAAAGCATTTACTTACAGGTATGCTGAATAAATCCTATAGTCACATTTAACGATAACTTTGCATGTTCATTTCATGGTTCTCCAACTTTCTGCTGTGCTCTCACCTCCTGTGAGGAGACAAGCAGCAGATAAAGTGAGGGTCCCCTGCACTTCTGGCGAGCTGTCACTGTCTTAAGAAAGTTCTCAATCCTGCCAGGAGATTGCCATCTATGGACCGAGCACTCAGAGGCAGGAAAATGTCAGGAAGCCAGCCTGGCAAGCTTTTTAATAGGTATTCCTGCCCACCCCTGTCTAAGTCCATTCCAAGTGACTAGGAGAAACCCATTCCATAGATTTCTAATGGGTGACTTCCGCTATCACTATTTAGCCTGGGGTATTCAAAAGTAAGTGTTTCAATTTTCGAAGAGTAATTACTTAAATCCAATTTGTTAACTTCCCTATTTTACAGTTGACTGCATTTCAACAATACTTCACTGGCTGTACAACAGTTCGGGACAGCCAGAAGGTGTAACAGGCACTACACAAATGCAAATCACATCTTTCTTTCTTTTCAGAGGAGATTCTTGACCAGTGGTCCTAAAGGACTGATTTTTTATGAGTAAAGAAGTAACACAGCAACTGTCTGCCCAGCCACAGTGGCAGATATCACAATTAAATTCAGTGACAGCGAATAACCAGAATGATTCTCCTCATAATTGCTCTTTTCATGTCCAGCTCTGTAATGCTTGGATGTTTCATAGTTTTATTTTTGGTTTACAATAATTTGAAAAACAGTTATTATTGTCATAATCTCACTTTTATATAACTAGACTGACATTTTGGAATCAGAATCTCAAATACATAATGTATCCCAAAATAGATTCTCTGTAATAACTGAGATGTTTCATTGTTCAAAGAAAGAAATCAATAAATGATTTAGTTCAAGGACATTTAAGGACCAGTAAAATAATGTAACTGCTTGAGGCCTACATGGAGGATAACTTGCAGACTTGACACCCAAAGTCAAGGCCAAAAGCTAGTCAAGGAGTAAAGTTTTCTGTGCTTCAATAATGCTTCGTAGAAAAGGATTATCAAATGCCACAACAGATAGCTAATCAGCACCAATATATTGCAAACTGTAGGTAGTAGTGATGCCCTAACACTTTTCTAATCTCTAGAGTAAGCAGAGAGAACAACGCTCCTCCAAACACACCAGGATCTTTGAAAGTCAGTTGCTGTTCCTTAAATCACTGTACAAATCCAGTCCATCAGTTCCCAGCAACGATAGAATCAAGTCCAAGCAGTGACGTTTCGGCTTAAACCCAGCATTCCAGTTCCAAAAGGTGATAGGACTACGTTCAAATCCAGTGCAGCACTTACAGCGATGATGGGATTGTGTTTATTCCAATGGACCAGCATTCTTTTGACTGACTTTTTACTGCAATGAAAGTCCTCTGTATTGGGCTCTGTGTTCAACATATCCCTGCCATATTAAAATGGCCTGCATATAAATGTTTAATTATAAGAAAAAAAAAATCTCTTCTGCATTAAAAACTTTTATGTGGCATCTTGTTGGATGCCTTCTGGGAGTTCACACAGACTGTATTTTCTGGAACCCTGCCCTAGCAGATATATCCTCAAAAAATCAGATAAGTAAAACACAACTTCTCTTTGTTTGATAAAACTATAATTTTTTAAGTTCATTATTAAGTCTTCCACAAAAATAGATTCCTTTACTGTCCTGATATCAGGCAAATTAGCCTGTAATTCCCTGTTGTGTCTCTTCCTAAACATGGAGGTGCTGGTTTTAGACTGGATTGGACAAGGTCAAAAATCACACAACACAAGGATATAGTCCAACAGGTTTATTTGAACACATTAGCTATTGCAGCATTGCTACACCTGAGAAAGGAGCAATGCTCCGAAACCTAGTGTGTTCAAATAAACCTGTTGGACCATAACTGTGTGATTTTTGACCTCTTCCTAAATAGCAGAGTTACATTTGTTAACTTCCAATCTGTTCTAGAATGCAGGAAACTTTGGAAAGTTGTAACCATCCACCATCTCGGCAGCTTGTTCTTTTGGAAACCTAGAATGTGGGCCATCAAAAGATTAGTTGAGGGAGCAATTTCTGCAGGGAGAGTGGATCAGGTTGTCATTGAGGTAAACAATACTTGCAGAAAGACTGGGTGGCCAGTTATAGAGTCATAGATCATGAAAACAGACCCTTTGGTCCACCGCATCCATGCTAACCACATTTCTTAAACTGAACTAGTTCCATTTGCTTGCATTTGGCCCATATCCCTCGAAACCTTTCCTACGCATGTACCTGTTGAAATGTCTTTTAAATGCTGTAATCGTACCCACCTCTGCTACTTCCTTTGGCAGCTCACTCCCCATATGCACCACCCTCTGTGTGAAAATATTGCCCCTCAGGTCCCTTGTAAATCTTTCCCCTCTCACCTTTCCTTTCTTTATTTCATTCACGGGATGAGGGTGTCGCTGGCTAGGCAGAATTTATTGCCCATCTCTAATTGCCCAGAGGGCAGTTAAGAGTCAACCACACTGCTATGGGTCTGGAGTCACATGTAGGCCAGACCAGGTAAGGATGGCAGTTTCCCTCCCTAAAAGACATTAGTGAGCCAGATGTTTTTGTCCAACAATCAACAATGGATTCATGGTCATCATTTGACTCTTAATTGCAGACATTTATTGAATTCAAATTCCACCATCTGCTGTGGCGGGATTCGAACCCAGGTCCCCAGAACATTACAGATAGCAGGGACTGCAGGTGCTGGAGAATCCGAGACAACAAGGTGCAGAGCTGGATGAACACAGCAGGCCAAGCAGCATTATAGGAGCAGAAAGGCTGACGTTTCGGGCCTAGACCCTTCATCAGATGAAGGGTCTAGGCC